CACGTATTGGACATTAAGGTTACAAGTGAATGCTGATTTCTCGTGTTGTTTTCAGCGAAAGTTGTAAAAATGAATGCTTTTCAAAACATTAAGGGTACTATAAGAAAACCATGGTGAAGGAACTTTTTCTGTTTAACTTCTAAATTATTCTTGCGATTATATTTAAAAACATATGTAGGTGTAATAATACAAATAGAAAGTTTGGGCAGGGTTATAATCAAGTAGGAAGTGACCACTAATAGGATGGAAGTGTTCAATCATTTTAATCACTGAGTAATAGTGTAACAGGTAACACGCTATGCTTAGCTGCTGTGTGAATACAAACCCTCATGACACGTAATGCTGCTCTATGTCGTTTAAAAGCATTTCAAGACTATCACTTGGCATTGAATTTGTGTGTGAATTAGTGAGTAAATCTGTCAATAACGCTCAAGCAATATGCTGTCACCGTTCTCAACTGAAAGTAGCTGCTAGCCGCTCTGCTATCAAGCTAACAACCATGAAGGAAAGCTAAAAGCTAGTCGGTGAATCTCTGTAAAACACGACGGAACTATTCTATTGCTCCATATTGAACAGAAACAGTGCCACGGCTACGTCATATAATAAGAAAGCAAGAGAAAATGAGACGAAAGCAGGTTTTTGCTAGCAAGCTAACCAACTATTCCGACGCCATGGGCTGTTTCTCTCGAACGTGCCGCTGAATTGACTGATGTCTCAAAAGTCACTTTTTTTACTGCTGAAGTACTTTTAAACTGATATTATAGAATAGACATACCTGACAATTGCAGCTTATTTGGTCGTAATGCAGTCAGAAAAGAAGTTATTAGTAATACAGCTTGTGGTTATCTCTGGGTAAAATGAGATAGGTCCACACCCTCTGCGCCCCCTAAAACGTTTACAGAACTGACGGAGGGTATAGTGCCCTCTACTGGCGAAAGAGAGAGCTGCAACAAGTTAAAAATCACCGCCTCAGGTCGTGTTTATTTTCTTCTCTTTTTCTCTTTGTTGTATCGTTTGTTCTTCCGACTGTATGACGCAAAACGTAACAAGGAATATAATAACAACAACAACAACAACAACAACAACAATAATAATAATAATAATAATAATAATAATAATAATAATAATAATAATAATAATAATAATAAACTGACAAAAGCTGATGAATGTCCCAAACATCAAAGTTGAGCAAATTTCTTTGGAACAACGTCACTGCGTACGACGTTTACGTCTCGCGCAGTCGCTCGGCGCCATCTTTAAAGCCCACAGACCACAACAAACTTTATTCCAGTGTTTTCATTGTGTTACCGACAGTAAAGTTGTTTTCAGGTTGGATATGGGATATTTAATGAACCGCTAACCCTGACTTTTAATTTTTGTCTACCTTTTTAAGTACAATCCTAAATGAATATAGTTATTAAACATTTTATTTTTTATTTCTTAAGGATTGGTTTTGTAATTTTTCTATTTTTTTTCTCTATTTTTTTTTAATTCTCTAGTTTTTAATTCTCAATTTTCACATTTTCAACCCCATAATACCTTTTAGTAGTTTAATTATTTCTTATATTTCCCGGAAAGTACATAATTAATATTCTATTCTTATTCCAACTCTCACTATTTACCTGGTCTGTGCATTTTTCCATCTCATAATTCCCATAATTTTTATAATATTTACCTTTTCACCATAATCTTTTGGACGTTTAACTCCTCAAGATAGTTGCATGATCTCACGCTTCCGGGTTTTAAAGCGGACGTGGAGTTGGACAACTTCCGGCGGCTATAGCGTTAGCATTAGTAGCCTAGGAAAATGGCTCAGTCTCGACGCAGTTGTTTTTGTTCGGTCCCTGGCTGTTCATGTGGAGCAAGAAAACAGCCATATTTGTCCTATCATGCCTTCCCCACGGACCCAGACCGACGGAAGCAGTGGATCCAGGCGATCCGAAGAAACGAAGGTCCCGACTTTTGCATAAAGACAGGGAGCACTTTCGTATGTAGCCGCCACTTCACACCAGAGGATTTTGTTAGCAGATCCACCACCAGCCGCCTTAAGAGAGGGACTGTTCCTTCCCTTTTCGCCTGGAATAACTTCAGTGCACCAGCAACGAGAGAGTGTTCTTTCCAGAGCGCTAAGAAACAACAGTTGGTCCTCTCTCAGGAAGCTAGCCAGGATGGACCATGACTACACGGCACAACCACCCGCAGGTAAAGGTCAAAGATACTACATTGTATACATTTGTAAGATAATTTCAGTCAAATATAACTATTACGATAATAATTGGATTATTATTATGACATAATAATGAAATCATTATTATGAGATTATGTGGAGAGATGAAGTCAATGGCTGTATACATACATGCTGCGACTCACAACATGTATTGATGTTCACAGAAGTAATGTTATGTCTATATAATTAAAACTTGTTGCTAACCGTATGTTTTGATCATTTATGTTGTGGTTTTACAGGTGCACTTGATGAAGCTCTGGATTATATCAAGGAGTTGGAGGCCAGACTTCAGAAAGTGGATTCGTCTGCCATACTTTTTAGCCGCTACTGTGCCTCTGATGAACAGATCCGGTTCTACACCAAATTTCCATCTGAACGTGTGTTCCGGATCTTCTGGGAGTCCATTGCGCCCTCTGCATCACTCCTTGTGTACTGGACCAGAGCACAGAAACTTGGAGAGGAAGCATGTGCTGAAGCCAGCCCTGCCCACTGCTGCCTCTGATTGATGAGTTCCTGATGTACTCATTCAGGGTAGCAGTGGGCATGAAGGAGCAGATCATTGCTGACATGTTTCAAGTCAGCATAGCTACTGTCAGCCGAGTGACCATCACCTGGGCCAACTACCTCTTCATTGTGTTCTCTTCCATCAACCTGTGGATTAGTCGTGAGAAGGTAAAAGCCAGTATGCCTCAGAGATTTCTGAAGTTCTCTCCAAATGTCCGCGTCATCTTGGACTGCACAGAAGTTGCTCTGGAGACGCCGTCATTACAGTCTGAAACGTTCTCTACCTTCAAGAACCACACCACTCTGAAAGGGCTGATTGGAGTTTCTCCCTGTGGGTTGGTGACATTTATTTCAGCGTTGTACACAGGCTGCATCTCCGACAGAGAAATAACGAAGGTCAGTGGAATCCTTCCTCTGCTTGAGCTGGGAGATGAAGTCATGGCAGATAAAGACTTCCTCATTCAAGACCTCCTTCATGAAGTTGGAGCCAAGCTCACCATTCCACAATTTAGGCATCCTGGCCAGTTCAGCAAGAAAGAGACAAAGGAGACCCAGACCATTGCTCAGCTGCAGATCATTGTGGAGCGAGCGATCGCTAGAGTAAAGTGCTACCACATCTGGGATTCTCCGGTGCCTCTCACTTTAATGGGCTGTCAATCAAATCTGGCACAACTGTTGTGTTTTGGCAAATTATCAAGGCCCATTTTGTGTTGCAGACTAAATTGTTTCTGTAGGTTACTTGTTGTAATGCTACATAAAAAGTTGTTCAACTTTTTAAATAAAGTTAATTGAATGTATTTAAGAAAAATATATTCAATTAAAACACACTTTAGCAGCATAGTGTACTTTTTTTTGTATTGTCTTGTTTAAGTTGAGGTGCAAGGAAATCAAAAACCCTTAACTATTTAATATTTTATAATTGTACACCATACATTTGAGACTTCTCTTCCACACACAGCACATTGCGGAGGCTAGTTGGTTGAATTTTCTGTCATGAATGGTTAACAACAAACAGCACAGTGAGCCTCCCTGCTGATCCACTAGTTCTGGGTACACAGTAGAGTGCTGAACAGACTGTGTCTTACAAATAATCATTACAATCGGGTCCAACAACAAAGTGGACAATTCAAGACTTTGAGGAAGCATGAAGTGCACAAGCCCAGAATCCCAGTGCCCCTCTCTTACCTAACAGGTGAGAAAGGGGCATTTCTAACAGGTCATTTTATAGTGATTTTGATTGATAGTACATCTTCTAAATAAATTTCATACAATTTGGTCTTTGGTCTTAAATCGAAAAAATAACAGCAGTCAAATTTAAGCTATTTAACAGCACCCTCTAGTGTTTCAAAAAAAAAGAAGCTGGTCATGTCATCATAGAAACAGGGAATAGACAGACTGGCAAATACAGCAAACTGACAACATACATTTCTGACATTTAATATAACATAATTACCTGCAATGAATGGTTAGCCACAAACAGCACAGTGAGCCTCTCTGGGTACTACAATAAAACTCCACATTAGTCCTTGAGCACATCTAGCATTACTGTTCAGAAAAGAACTGGATTTGATGACTTACCACAGTGGAGTGCTGAACAGACTGTGTGGAATTTACAGTTTCTCCTCCTTTTATAGCAGGGGTGTCAACATCCAGTCCTCGAGGGCTGGTGTCCTGCAACTTTTAGATGTGCCTCTGCTGCACCACTCCAGAATAGAATAATTAGGTCATTAGCAAGACTCTGGAGAACTTATCTACACAAGGAGGAGGTAATTAAGCCATTGCATTCCTGTGTTTTTTCTACCTGTAGCTCATCGAAATACTGCAGGACAGTGGCCCTCGAGGACTGGAGTTTGACACCCCTGTTTTATAGGCAACCAGTAGAGGGTGCCAAAAACCACTCATTACAGGACAACTATGAAACACATTTCAGCGGGATTTAACCTGAACCATTTTAACTGTATTACACATTGATTTAAATTATAAGTAAAATATAGTTCCTGGCTGCTCCAATTAACAAACCCACCAAGAACAGCGTAAGACAAAATACATATACACAAACAAACTTGATAAAACAACCACATCAGCATAATATTAGCAAATACTCTTCATTTTAAATAGTCATTTCATTTCTAAAAATACCTTTCTATAAGTATAAATTCAATCATTAAACTTCTAAAATGTGTAGTGCTTTTGCTCCCCCTCTTCCACCTGCATTTAGTCTCTTCCAGGCTTAAAGATTCCCTGGGGCCCTGAGCACCCCAGGGAATCTTTAAGCCTGAACACCCTGCAGAGGATGAGACAGAGGTAAGTTACATCTACACAAACATTTCAGTGCATTTCAAACAGTTACGAGACCCATTCCATTCATTTGTTTTATTTTAACGGGACATCATCAGTTCCAGCTGAAATGCCACCGTATAAAAACAGACAATAAAATACTTCCTTCTGTCTCTTTTATCATTCAACACACCCTTTTAAGTGTTTTCCATCCAAGTAATGAAGACCTTCATTACAGCATAAAACATTTGGAAGCGTCAAAGGAGGAGAAGGGAAGTCTGGAGTCAAGTGGTGCAGAATGGTGCTACCAGAGGACTTCTGAGGCAGACTCTGATAAGACATTGGTGAGCCCTGTGACACAGGCCCAAATTTGGATGGAACCAGCTCCAAATCAGAAAGACCATCGAGGACAAGAGCCATAAGTGGTTGGGACTCCAGCAGGTGTAATTTTTCTCCTGATGTCAGGATCTGGAAATGGTCCGACAAACATCAGTGACAAAATCATACTAAGTTTTGACAAAGGAAACATAGGTATAAAAAAAAATAAAATAAAAGTTATACCTGTGTAAGCTCTGTAAAGTGTGGAGTGCAGATATCTTTTCCCCATAGTTTTAGGCTTCTGCACCACCATGTCGCTGACAGGTTCAGGATGTTTCCCCTTACCAGAAATACACAGAAAGATATATCAAACTAAAGAACAAATGAAGGGGTCACTGAGCAACTTGTTAGGACATAATGGCACCGATTTGGCACCATTTAGATTTTGACCCAACTCGCAAATAAAAACAAATTGATTGCATTTGTATCTTTTTTATTGCCTACAAATAAATTCATATTCAAAGCAAATTATGAGAGAAATTATACTTGATACAAGTAATATTGAGATTACAACAAATTTTATATGGCAGTTATAAAATACAGGTTGGAAAGGAACATAAATGGCTGTGCGACACAATCACAAAGGAGGAATAAATTGAGTACATAACTATAGTACTGTTGTTTTAAGATCATATATATGAAAGTATATGTAATATAGTATATAATTAAGTATATGTAGTGTATTTATATACCACAGGACAATGTGTTCCACTCTTTTTCTGACCTGTGTTCTTGGTCTGTGCAGGAGGAACATTTGGCACCTGGAGTTGGGACTGGTGTGCTGTCTGTAAAGAAGTGCAACTACGTGATTGCAAACACCTTTACCAGCTGCACAGCTACAGGAATAATCCAATAATTCAGCCTTTTCTTTTCCAACACCCAGTGATATCTAAAATAGACAACTGTTTTAGCAACACATATATACATCCATACATATAGCATGTTTAGCTTCAAACAAGTAGGTTCTTGTTTAGGTAAGCTTCAACAACAGCAGAAAAAAAACAGACTATGTTGCAGAAAACAAATAGTGACAAATAGTGACCACTGAACAGGAAGATGTTAGAATAAGTTCTGAGTTGTCCAGAAGATGTACATGAAAGTTCTTCATCTTTCATTGCGATCTTTGTGTAGTTCATATATTGCAGCTAGCGGTTAGCTTGCTAAGCTACGTCTTTTCTTTCACACATTTATTGGTGGGCGAATTCGCCGCTGCGATTTCCTCCGCATCAGCGAAAGAAAGTGCTGGCAAATTAAGTAAAGATGACGAAAAGGACCGGAGGAGGATATAGTCACCAAAACAGGAAGTGCCCCAGGGTTTTCAGGTGCAGCATCCGGTTGTCGTGAAAAAGGTCTACTGTAGATCTCATCGCCGACAGAGAACCAATAGTCCTGGTGAATTCTGTGTGTAGTGTTTCATTTTGATGCACATAATTCAAAATTGTAATAGAAAGAAAACATGAGTGCAGCGTTTTGATACAGAGCAATGTTAAACCATCCCTTCATGTTAGAATCCAACGACTCGTCGACATAGCTGATAACAAAAAATGTCAACAGAAAATTTTATTTGTCACATAAATGCATTATCCATATGTGAATTAGTTAATATCTAAAATACACCAATGAAAATCGGTATGCGTTGTAGTTTCAGTGAGTTTTGCAGAGACGTGGTGCGCCACTAAAATAACTACTCACACCGGAGATTACCATTATACTTTAAATTAATTTCCTTTTAAAACAAAATATTGCATATGTGAAGCACTTTTTTTTTTTAAAACGCAAGTCTTTGTTTAGTGTAAAATAAGTCAATTTGGCTTCAGTCTTTTGTAGTTTGCTTGCATACAGATGGACACAAAAAAAATTAAATCACCTGTTTTTTTTTCTGTTTTTTCACAAACAGAAAAAAGGTGAAAGAAGCTATAAGGTGTAGTTTGTCAAATAACCAATATATTTTAGGCCTAACTGACATTTTAAATCGCAAGCAGGAATATATTGTAAAAATAGTGTTTTCCACTCTCACATTTATTTTATAAATGTTTGTGAAAATGTGGCGGCATCAGGGTGAAAATGACTGTATAGATTGCAGATTTGAGAAGAAGGGGTATACTTGTGAAGACTTAAAGATCCTCAAATGAAACAGAGATAAGTTAAAGTGACTGACTAAAAAGAAAAAATCTTGACAGATTAGTCAAATAGTCAGCTGATCTTTAGCTTGAAAAGTAGAAAACCTGAAAATTAATCCTTGAAGGTCAATATTAGGAAAACTATGATTTTCCAAGTGGATTGCATTTGTTCTCTGTGCAGCTGTTTGGATCAGATGCTCTCTCACCATTTGCATTTAACCACATCGCCATTTCAGATAAAAGCATCCCAGATGAAAAAAAAAGCTCACAGGACTGGTTGACAAAACAGAAAACAGCAAAGTGAAAAAAGGGCAAGTCTGTTCAAACTGGAATAATCATCTCCATATTTACCAAGATTATTGCAATCTCACCACCCTATTTTCCTAGTGCAACAACAGGGCCGGTTATGGCAGACGATTCCAAAGAAGCTGCAGCACTTTTATTTGCTTCTCTAGAAACGAACCAAAATTGGTCAAAACTGGAATCAGATTTTTTTTTTATTATTTATCCAAAGAAAACCACCAGAAAATAGCTGGCAGGTGCTAAATTCTATTTAGTATAGGACTTTAAAAAAAAATTTGCTGATGCTTTTAGTAAAGTAACACTGCAGTTGTTTCTCGAAGTGGACACCCATGCATGAATAAAAACACAAAAACAAGTCAATAAAAATCCATTTAACTTTATAGATGCACATCTGTATGTAGAGCTGGTTGGAACTATGGCAGCACGTATTGGACATTAAGGTTTACAAGTGAATGCTGATTTCTCGTGTTGTTTTCAGCGAAAGTTGTAAAAATGAATGCTTTTCAAAACATTAAGGGTACTATAAGAAAACCATGGTGAAGGAACTTTTTCTGTTTAACTTCTAAATTATTCTTGCGATTATATTTAAAAACATATGTAGGTGTAGTAATACAAATAGAAAGTTTGGGCAGGGTTATAATCAAGTAGGAAGTGACCACTAATAGGATGGAAGTGTTCAATCATTTTAATCACGGAGTAATAGTGTAACAGGTAACACGCTATGCTTAGCTGCTGTGTGAATACAAACCCTCATGACACGTAATGCTGCTCTATGTCGTTTAAAAAGCATTTCAAGACTATCACTTGGCATTGAATTTGTGTGTGAATTAGTGAGTAAATCTGTCAATAACGCTCAAGCAATATGCTGTCACCGTTCTCAACTGAAAGTAGCTGCACTAGCCGCTCTGCTATCAAGCTAACAACCATGAAGGAAAGCTAAAAGCTAGTCGGTGAATCTCTGTAAAACACGACGGAACTATTCTATTGCTCCATATTGAACAGAAACAGTGCCACGGCTACGTCATATAATAAGAAAGCAAGAGAAAATGAGACGAAAGCAGGTTTTTGCTAGCAAGCTAACCAACTATTCCGACGCCATGGGCTGTTTCTCTCGAACGTGCCGCTGAATTGACTGATGTCTCAAAAGTCACTTTTTTTACTGCTGAAGTACTTTTAAACTGATATTATAGAATAGACATACCTGACAATTGCAGCTTATTTGGTCGTAATGCAGTCAGAAAAGAAGTTATTAGTAATACAGCTTGTGGTTATCTCTGGGTAAAATGAGATAGGTCCACACCCTCTGCGCCCCCTAAAACGTTTACAGAACTGACGGAGGGTATAGTGCCCTCTACTGGCGAAAGAGAGAGCTGCAACAAGTTAAAAATCACCGCCTCAGGTCGTGTTTATTTTCTTCTCTTTTTCTCTTTGTTGTATCGTTTGTTCTTCCGACTGTATGACGCAAAACGTAACAAGGAATATAATAACAACAACAACAATAATAATAATAATAATAATAATAATAATAATAATAATAATAATAATAATAATAATAATAATAAACTGACAAAAGCTGATGAATGTCACAAACATCAAAGTTGAGCAAAGTTCTTTGGAACAACGTCACTGCATACGACGTTTACGTCTCGCGCAGTCGCTCGGCGCCATTTTTAAAGCCCACAGACCACAACAAACTTATTCCAGTGTTTTCATTGTGTTACCGACAGTAAAGTTGTTTTCAGGTTGGATATGGGATATTTAATGAACCGCTAACCCTGACTTTTAATTTTTGTCTACCTTTTTAAGTACAATCCTAAATGAATATAGTTATTAAACATTTTATTTTTTATTTCTTAAGGATTGGTTTTGTAATTTTTCTATTTTTTTCTCTATTTTTTAAAATTCTCTAGTTTTTAATTCTCAATTTTCACATTTTCAACCCCATAATACCTTTTAGTAGTTTAATTATTTCTTATATTTCCCGGAAAGTACATAATTAATATTCTATTCTTATTCCAACTCTCACTATTTACCTGGTCTGTGCATTTTTCCATCTCATAATTCCCATAATTTTCATAATATTTACCTTTTCACCATAATCTTTTGGACGTTTAACTCCTCAAGATAGTTGCATGATCTCACGCTTCCGGGTTTTAAAGCGGACGTGGAGTTGGACAACTTCCGGCGGCTATAGCGTTAGCATTAGTAGCCTAGGAAAATGGCTCAGTCTCGACGCAGTTGTTTTTGTTCGGTCCCTGGCTGTTCATGTGGAGCAAGAAAACAGCCATATTTGTCCTATCATGCCTTCCCCACGGACCCAGACCGACGGAAGCAGTGGATCCAGGCGATCCGAAGAAACGAAGGTCCCGACTTTTGCATAAAGACAGGGAGCACTTTCGTATGTAGCCGCCACTTCACACCAGAGGATTTTGTTAGCAGATCCACCACCAGCCGCCTTAAGAGAGGGGCTGTTCCTTCCCTTTTCGCCTGGAATAACTTCAGTGCACCAGCAACGAGAGAGTGTTCTTTCCAGAGCGCTAAGAAACAACAGTTGGTCCTCTCTCAGGAAGCTAGCCAGGATGCGGACCATGACTACACGGCACAACCACCCGCAGGTAAAGGTCAAAGACATTATACATTTGTAAGATAATTTCAGTCAAATATAACTATTACGATAATAATTGGATTATTATTATGACATAATAATGAAATCATTATTATGAGATTATGTGGAGAGATGAAGTCAATGGCTGTATACATACATGCTGCGACTCACAACATGTATTGATGTTCACAGAAGTAATGTTATGTCTATATAATTAAAACTTGTTGCTAACCGTATGTTTTGATCATTTATGTTGTGGTTTTACAGGTGCACTTGATGAAGCTCTGGATTATATCAAGGAGTTGGAGGCCAGACTTCAGAAAGTGGATTCGTCTGCCATACTTTTTAGCCGCTACTGTGCCTCTGATGAACAGATCCGGTTCTACACCAAATTTCCATCTGAACGTGTGTTCCGGATCTTCTGGGAGTCCATTGCGCCCTCTGCATCACTCCTTGTGTACTGGACCAGAGCACAGAAACTTGGAGAGGAAGCATGTGCTGAAGCCAGCCCTGCCCGCTGCATGCCTCTGATTGATGAGTTCCTGATGTACTCATTCAGGGTAGCAGTGGGCATGAAGGAGCAGATCATTGCTGACATGTTTCAAGTCAGCATAGCTACTGTCAGCCGAGTGACCATCACCTGGGCCAACTACCTCTTCATTGTGTTCTCTTCCATCAACCTGTGGATTAGTCGTGAGAAGGTAAAAGCCAGTATGCCTCAGAGATTTCTGAAGTTCTCTCCAAATGTCCGCGTCATCTTGGACTGCACAGAAGTTGCTCTGGAGACGCCGTCATTACAGTCTGAAACGTTCTCTACCTTCAAGAACCACACCACTCTGAAAGGGCTGATTGGAGTTTCTCCCTGTGGGTTGGTGACATTTATTTCAGCGTTGTACACAGGCTGCATCTCCGACAGAGAAATAACGAAGGTCAGTGGAATCCTTCCTCTGCTTGAGCTGGGAGATGAAGTCATGGCAGATAAAGACTTCCTCATTCAAGACCTCCTTCATGAAGTTGGAGCCAAGCTCACCATTCCACAATTTAGGCATCCTGGCCAGTTCAGCAAGAAAGAGACAAAGGAGACCCAGACCATTGCTCAGCTGCAGATCATTGTGGAGCGAGCGATCGCTAGAGTAAAGTGCTACCACATCTGGGATTCTCCGGTGCCTCTCACTTTAATGGGAGCTGTCAATCAAATCTGGCACAACTGTTGTGTTTTGGCAAATTATCAAGGCCCATTTTGTGTTGCAGACTAAATTGTTTCTGTAGGTTACTTGTTGTAATGCTACATAAAAAGTTGTTCAACTTTTTAAATAAAGTTAATTGAATGTATTTAAGAAAAATATATTCAATTAAAACACACTTTAGCAGCATAGTGTACTTTTTTTTGTATTGTCTTGTTTAAGTTGAGGTGCAAGGAAATCAAAACCCTTAACTATTTAATATTTTATAATTGTACACCATACATTTGAGACTTCTCTTCCACACACAGCACATTGCGGAGGCTAGTTGGTTGAATTTTCTGTCATGAATGGTTAACAACAAACAGCACAGTGAGCCTCCCTGCTGATCCACTAGTTCTGGGTACACAGTAGAGTGCTGAACAGACTGTGTCTTACAAATAATCATTACAATCGGGTCCAACAACAAAGTGGACAATTCAAGACTTTGAGGAAGCATGAAGTGCACAAGCCCAGAATCCCAGTGCCCCTCTCTTACCTAACAGGTGAGAAAGGGGCATTTCTAACAGGTCATTTTATAGTGATTTTTGATTGATAGTACATCTTCTAAATAAATTTCATACAATTTGGTCTTTGGTCTTAAATCGAAAAAATAACAGCAGTCAAATTTAAGCTATTTAACAGCACCCTCTAGTGTTTCAAAAAAAAAAGAAGCTGGTCATGTCATCATAGAAACGGAATAGACAGACTGACAAATACAGCAAACTGACAACATACATTTCTGACATTTAATATAACATAATTACCTGCAATGAATGGTTAGCCACAAACAGCACAGTGAGCCTCTCTCTGGGTACTACAATAAAACTCCACATTAGTCATTGAGCACAACTAGCATTACTGTTCAGAAAAGAACTGGATTTGATGACTTACCACAGTGGAGTGCTGAACAGACTGTGTGGAATTTACAGTTTCTCCTCCTTTTATAGCAGGGGTGTCAACATCCAGTCCTCGAGGGCTGGTGTCCTGCAACTTTTAGATGTGCCTCTGCTGCACCACTCCAGAATAGAATAATTAGGTCATTAGCAAGACTCTGGAGAACTTATCTACACAAGGAGGAGGTAATTAAGCCATTGCATTCCTGTGTTTTCTACCTGTAGCTCATCGAAATACTGCAGGACAGTGGCCCTCGAGGACTGGAGTTTGACACCCCTGTTTTATAGGCAACCAGTAGAGGGTGCCAAAAACCACTCATTACAGGACAACTATGAAACACATTTCAGCGGGATTTAACCTGAACCATTTTAACTGTATTACACATTGATTTAAATTATAAGTAAAATATAGTTCCTGGCTGCTCCAATTAACAAACCCACCAAGAACAGCGTAAGACAAAATACATATACACAAACAAACTTGACAAAACAACCACATCAGCATAATATTAGCAAATACTCTTCATTTTTAAATAGTCATTTCATTTCTAAAAATACCTTTCTATAAGTATAAATTCAATCATTAAACTTCTAAAATGTGTAGTGCTTTTGCTCCCCCTCTTCCACCTGCATTTAGTCTCTTCCAGGCTTAAAGATTCCCTGGGGCCCTGAGCACCCCAGGGAATCTTTAAGCCTGAACACCCTGCAGAGGATGAGACAGAGGTAAGTTACATCTACACAAACATTTCAGTGCATTTCAAACAGTTACGAGACCCATTCCATTCATTTGTTTTATTTTAACGGGACATCATCAGTTCCAGCTGAAATGCCACCGTATAAAAACAGACAATAAAATACTTCCTTCTGTCTCTTTTATCATTCAACACACCCTTTTAAGTGTTTTCCATCCAAGTAATGAAGACCTTCATTACAGCATAAAACATTTGGAAGCGTCAAAGGAGGAGAAGGGAAGTCTGGAGTCAAGTGGTGCAGAATGGTGCTACCAGAGGACTTCTGAGGCAGACTCTGATAAGACATTGGTGAGCCCTGTGACACAGGCCCAAATTTGGATGGAACCAGCTCCAAATCAGAAAGACCATCGAGGACAAGAGCCATAAGTGGTTGGGACTCCAGCAGGTGTAATTTTTCTCCTGATGTCAGGATCTGGAAATGGTCCGACAACATCAGTGACAAAATCATACTAAGTTTTGACAAAGGAAACATAGGTATAAAAAAAATAAAATAAAAGTTATACCTGTGTAAGCTCTGTAAAGTGTGGAGTGCAGATATCTTTTCCCCATAGTTTTAGGCTTCTGCACCACCATGTCGCTGACAGGTTCAGGATGTTTCCCCTTACCAGAAATACACAGAAAGATATATCAAACTAAAGAACAAATGAAGGGGTCACTGAGCAACTTGTTAGGACATAATGGCACCGATTTGGCACCATTTAGATTTTGACCCAACTCGCAAATAAAACAAATTGATTGCATTTGTATCTTTTTTATTGCCTACAAATAAATTCATATTCAAAGCAAATTATGAGAGAAATTATACTTGATACAAGTAATATTGAGATTACAACAAATTTTATATGGCAGTTATAAAATACAGGTTGGAAAGGAACATAAATGGCTGTGCGACACAATCACAAAGGAGGAATAAATTGAGTACATAACTATAGTACTGTTGTTTTAAGATCATATATATGAAAGTATATGTAATATAGTATATAATTAAGTATATGTAGTGTATTTATATACCACAGGACAATGTGTTCCACTCTTTTTCTGACCTGTGTTCTTGGTCTGTGCAGGAGGAACATTTGGCACCTGGAGTTGGGACTGGTGTGCTGTCTGGTAAAGAAGTGCAACTACGTGATTGCAAACACCTTTACCAGCTGCACAGCTACAGGAATAATCCAATAATTCAGCCTTTTCTTTTCCAACACCCAGTGATATCTAAAATAGACAACTGTTTTAGCAACACATATATGATATAGCATGTTTAGCTTCAAACAAGTAGGTTCTTGTTTAGGTAAGCTTCAACAACAGCAGAAAAAAAACAGACTATGTTGCAGAAAACAAATAGTGACAAATAGTGACCACTGAACAGGAAGATGTTAGAATAAGTTCTGAGTTGTCCAGAAGATGTACATGAAAGTTCTTCATCTTTCATTGCGATCTTTGTGTAGTTCATATATTGCAGCTAGCGGTTAGCTTGCTAAGCTACGTCTTTTCTTTCACACATTTATTGGTGGGCGAATTCGCCGCTGCGATTTCCTCCGCATCAGCGAAAGAAAGTGCTGGCAAGTTAAGTAAAGATGACGAAAAGGACCGGAGGAGGATATAGTCACCAAAACAGGAAGTGCCCCAGGGTTTTCAGGTGCAGCATCCGGTTGTCGTGAAAAAGGTCTACTGTAGATCTCATCGCCGACAGAGAACCAATAGTCCTGGTGAATTCTGTGTGTAGTGTTTCATTTTGATGCACATAATTCAAAATTGTAATAGAAAGAAAACATGAGTGCAGCGTTTTGATACAGAGCAATGTTAAACCATCCCTTCATGTTAGAATCCAACGACTCGTCGACATAGCTGATAACAAAAAATGTCAACAGAAAATTTTATTTGTCACATAAATGCATTATCCATATGTGAATGAGTTAATATCTAAAATACACCAATGAAAATCGGTATGCGTTGTAGTTTCAGTGAGTTTTGCAGAGACGTGGTGTGCCACTAAAACAACTACTCACACCGGAGATTACCATTATACTTTAAATTAATTTCCTTTTAAAACAAAATATTGCATATGTGAAGCACTTTTTTTTTTTTTTTTGAAAACGCAAGTCTTTGTTTAGTGTGAAATAAGTCAATTTGGCTTCAGTCTTTTGTAGTTTGCTTGCATACAGATGGACACAAAAAAAATTAAATCACCTGTTTTTTTTCTGTTTTTTCACAAACAGAAAAAAGGTGAAAGAAGCTATAAGGTGTAGTTTGTCAAATAACCAATATTTTAGGCCTAACTGACATTTTAAATCGCAAGCAGGAATATATTGTAAAAATAGTGTTTTCCACTCTCACATTTATTTTATAAATGTTTGTGAAAATGTGGCGGCATCAGGGTGAAAATGACTGTATAGATTGCAGATTTGAGAAGAAGGGGTATACTTGTGAAGACTTAAAGATCCTCAAATGAAACAGAGATAAGTTAAAGTGACTGACTAAAAAGAAAAAATCTTGACAGATTAGTCAAATAGTCAGCTGATCTTTAGCTTGAAAAGTAGAAAACCTGAAAATTAATCCTTGAAGGTCAATATTAGAAAAACTATGATTTTCCAAGTGGATTGCATTTGTTCTCTGTGCAGCTGTTTGGATCAGATGCTCTCTCACCATTTGCATTTAACCACATCGCCATTTCAGATAAAAGCATCCCAGATAAAAAAAAAAGCTCACAGGACTGGTTGACAAAACAGAAAACAGCAAAGTAAAAAAAGGGCAAGTCTGTTCAAACTGGAATAATCATCTCCATATTTACCAAGATTATTGCAATCTCACCACCCTATTTTCCTAGTGCAACAACAGGGCCGGTTATGGCAGACGATTCCAAAGAAGCTGCAGCACTTTTATTTGCTTCTCTAGAAACGAACCAAAATTGGTCAAAACTGGAATCAGATTTTTTTTTTATTATTTATCCAAAGAAAACCACCAGAAAATAGCTGGCAGGTGCTAAATTCTATTTAGTATAGGACTTTAAAAAAAAATTTGCTGATGCTTTTAGTAAAGTAACACTGCAGTTGTTTCTCGAAGTGGACACCCATGCATGAATAAAAACACACAAAAACAAGTCAATAAAAATCCATTTAACTTTATAGATGCACATCTGTATGTAGAGCTGGTTGGAACTATGGCAGCACGTATTGGACATTAAGGTTTACAAGTGAATGCTGATTCTCGTGTTCTTTTCAGCGAAAGTTGTAAAAATGAATGCTTTTTCAAAACATTAAGGGTACTATAAGAAAACCATGGTGAAGGAACTTTTTCTGTTTAACTTCTAAATTATTCTTGCGATTATATTTAAAAACATATGTAGGTGTAGTAATACAAATAGAAAGTTTGGGCAGGGTTATAATCAAGTAGGAAGTGACCACTAATAGGATGGAAGTGTTCAATCATTTTAATCACGGAGTAATAGTGTAACAGGTAACACGCTATGCTTAGCTGCTGTGTGAATACAAACCCTCATGACACGTAATGCTGCTCTATGTCGTTTAAAAAGCATTTCAAGACTATCACTTGGCATTGAATTTGTGTGTGAATTAGTGAGTAAATCTGTCAATAACGCTCAAGCAATATGCTGTCACCGTTCTCAACTGAAAGTAGCTGCACTAGCCGCTCTGCTATCAAGCTAACAACCATGAAGGAAAGCTAAAAGCTAGTCGGTGAATCTCTGTAAAACACGACGGAACTATTCTATTGCTCCATATTGAACAGAAACAGTGCCACGGCTACGTCATATAATAAGAAAGCAAGAGAAAATGAGACGAAAGCAGGTTTTTGCTAGCAAGCTAACCAACTATTCCGACGCCATGGGCTGTTTCTCTCGAACGTGCCGCTGAATTGACTGATGTCTCAAAAGTCACTTTTTTTACTGCTGAAGTACTTTTAAACTGATATTATAGAATAGACATACCTGACAATTGCAGCTTATTTGGTCGTAATGCAGTCAGAAAAGAAGTTATTAGTAATACAGCTTGTGGTTATCTCTGGGTAAAATGAGATAGGTCCACACCCTCTGCGCCCCCTAAAACGTTTACAGAACTGACGGAGGGTATAGTGCCCTCTACTGGCGAAAGAGAGAGCTGCAACAAGTTAAAAATCACCGCCTCAGGTCGTGTTTATTTTCTTCTCTTTTTCTCTTTGTTGTATCGTTTGTTCTTCCGACTGTATGACGCAAAACGTAACAAGGAATATAATAACAACAACAACAACAATAATAATAATAATAATAATAATAATAATAATAATAATAATAATAATATAATAAAACTGACAAAAGCTGATAAATGTCCCAAACATCAAAGTTGAGCAAATTTCTTTGGAACAACGTCACTGCATACGACGTTTACGTCTCGCGCAGTCGCTCGGCGCCATCTTTAAAGCCCACAGACCACAACAAACTTTATTCCAGTGTTTTCATTGTGTTACCGACAGTAAAGTTGTTTTCAGGTTGGATATGGGATATTTAATGAACCGCTAACCCTGACTTTTAATTTTTGTCTACCTTTTTAAGTACAATCCTAAATGAATATAGTTATTAAACATTTATTTTTTATTTCTTAAGGATTGGTTTTGTAATTTTTCTATTTTTTTCTCTATTTTTTTAAATTCTCTAGTTTTTAATTCTCAATTTTCACATTTTCAACCTCATAATACCTTTTAGTAGTTTAATTATTTCTTATATTTCCCGGAAAGTACATAATTAATATTCTATTCTTATTCCAACTCTCACTATTTACCTGGTCTGTGCATTTTTCCATCTCATAATTCCCATAATTTTCATAATATTTACCTTTTCACCATAATCTTTTGGACGTTTAACTCCTCAAGATAGTTGCATGATCTCACGCTTCCGGGTTTTAAAGCGGACGTGGAGTTGGACAACTTCCGGCGGCTATAGCGTTAGCATTAGTAGCCTAGGAAAATGGCTCAGTCTCGACGCAGTTGTTTTTGTTCGGTCCCTGGCTGTTCATGTGGAGCAAGAAAACAGCCATATTTGTCCTATCATGCCTTCCCCACGGACCCAGACCGACGGAAGCAGTGGATCCAGGCGATCCGAAGAAACGAAGGTCCCGACTTTTGCATAAAGACAGGGAGCACTTTCGTATGTAGCCGCCACTTCACACCAGAGGATTTTGTTAGCAGATCCACCACCAGCCGCCTTAAGAGAGGGGCTGTTCCTTCCCTTTTCGCCTGGAATAACTTCAGTGCACCAGCAACGAGAGAGTGTTCTTTCCAGAGCGCTAAGAAACAACAGTTGGTCCTCTCTCAGGAAGCTAGCCAGGATGCGGACCATGACTACACGGCACAACCACCCGCAGGTAAAGGTCAAAGATACTACATTGTATACATTTGTAAGATAATTTCAGTCAAATATAACTATTACGATAATAATTGGATTATTATTATGACATAATAATGAAATCATTATTATGAGATTATGTGGAGAGATGAAGTCAATGGCTGTATACATACATGCTGCGACTCACAACATGTATTGATGTTCACAGAAGTAATGTTATGTCTATATAATTAAAACTTGTTGCTAACCGTATGTTTTGATCATTTATGTTGTGGTTTTACAGGTGCACTTGATGAAGCTCTGGATTATATCAAGGAGTTGGAGGCCAGACTTCAGAAAGTGGATTCGTCTGCCATACTTTTTAGCCGCTACTGTGCCTCTGATGAACAGATCCGGTTCTACACCAAATTTCCATCTGAACGTGTGTTCCGGATCTTCTGGGAGTCCATTGCGCCCTCTGCATCACTCCTTGTGTACTGGACCAGAGCACAGAAACTTGGAGAGGAAGCATGTGCTGAAGCCAGCCCTGCCCGCTGCATGCCTCTGATTGATGAGTTCCTGATGTACTCATTCAGGGTAGCAGTGGGCATGAAGGAGCAGATCATTGCTGACATGTTTCAAGTCAGCATAGCTACTGTCAGCCGAGTGACCATCACCTGGGCCAACTACCTCTTCATTGTGTTCTCTTCCATCAACCTGTGGATTAGTCGTGAGAAGGTAAAAGCCAGTATGCCTCAGAGATTTCTGAAGTTCTCTCCAAATGTCCGCGTCATCTTGGACTGCACAGAAGTTGCTCTGGAGACGCCGTCATTACAGTCTGAAACGTTCTCTACCTTCAAGAACCACACCACTCTGAAAGGGCTGATTGGAGTT